TGTGTGTGTGTGTGTGTGTGTGTGTGTGTGTGTGTGTGTGTGTGTGTCCCTTTGCAAGCAGGGCTTTGTGAAAGGGGGCTCCAGCACTCTGGCTGGGAGGAATGAGAGGCGACCGACCACCAGCGCCTCCTCCCGGGGGCTGGAAAAAGCCTGGTGTGTAGCGCGTCTCAGCGAAGAGAAGAACAGCTCGAGCCAAAGAGCCCGAGAAAAGAGAACTACAGAAGCAGGCAAGCTCGCTGCGGAGAGCTAAGGCCAGTGTCCTTAAAGGCCGAAACAGGAGATTCATGGTCACGTGAGGGTTTAGGGGCATAATACAAATCCCATCGTTCTTCCAACGCGTTGATTTTCGACCTATTTAAAGCCAACATCCAGTTCCTTGGGCCATTGGCTTCTTCCTGACTCCAGGCTCCAGATCTATTGCCTGAAAATTAGGGCAAGATTTTAGCGGTTAAGGTACAATGCAGGCTGTGAAGTGCGCTGCTAGCTCCGCGCCTCGGCTCTTCGCACCACCAAACGGTTAAAGATCAATAGGGCAAAGGTTGTCTGCGCTAACAAAATTTGTGATTTTTTTTTAAAGGAACCTAGACCCCAAATTCTCCATTAGCCCTGGCAAAAACTAAGAAGGAGGAAAGAGGAGCATGCGGACCCCATTAAGTTTGACCCCGTTAAGTTTGTGACTGTCATCTTGGATGCGGCTCCTGCAGCTGACCCAGGAGCCACAGGGGCCGAAAGGTCGCCAGACATAATAACGGTATTATACATGTGACAATAAGAAGAGAAGGAAGGCCGAGCTGTACTTCTTCAGGTCGAACTATAATTAAAATCTGGTAACATGGACACTGTACCCATATTTTCTTTTTCCCGTAGTTCTTTCTCCACTGCTGTCCACTGAAAGCTTACCCAAGGAACCTGGAAGAAAATGGCGTCATTTCAATGTTGTTACCGTGTCAGTCTCTCTTACTCCTTGATGTCCTCATCCTTCTCCCTCACACTTCGCCATTGGAGTCCTTTGGATGGTGGGTGTTAGACTGGAAGCCACGTTTTGCTTTTTTTTTTTTTTTTTTTTTTTTGAGAGCAACATGTCCCTCTCACTCTCTTTTTGAACAGAAACTCCATTACCCCAACCCCAGAAAGTTCTTATTCAACTAAAACTCTCATTTCTTGGTGCTGACCTAAGGAAGGCACAATAGGGACCTGCTGAGGCTTGCTTCAGGCCCCTGTGCTCCGCTGTGGCAGCCTAGGTCTGCACCAACATCCTGAGAGAGAGTCTAAAGGTCTCTCTGTCTTCTTGCCTTCCTTTGAGAATGTCTCAGTTGGAGGTTGTGAGTCTAGGACTAAAGAACCAGAGGCAGCCAATGCCCTGTCCCCCAAGAAACAGTAAAGATGGGTCTGAGGACCTGCTGGCGGCATGGGGGCTGGTCTGTAGTGTATGTGTCTATGTGTTTTTAGGTTGCTTACAAAGGGATGTGGATGTGCCTAATTTTGGCATGAAGGAAAGCTGCATTTATTAAAACTGTTCTCCTATCACTGCCCTTATCTAGGGAAGCTTTCAGACTTGACAACAAATGGTCCTGGCCAAAGAAGGGTGGGCCTTGAAGCAAGGCAGCCAGGCCAAGGAAGCAGGCAATCATATCATGCCTAGGCTTAGGTCGAGGTTCCTGTGCTTAAGACACTGCCCAGCACAGGGCAGCAGGGTGTGTGGAACATCGAAGGAGCTCCAGACCCAAGGAATGTCCACCCGGGACCCCAATTCCTTACTGACCACTGTAGCTCCTGGGCGCCCAAGCCTCTGGCCTGGGAGTCAGAAAGGCAGAACTGGATTCCTGATTCTTCTTCATGCTGGAGTCCTGAGAGGAAAGTTTGGTGAGGGCCTCAGTGTCCAGGTGTGGTCAGATTACAATTGCTAGTCACCAAGAGGCCAGGTCCACATCTTGGGCTTCCAACTGCTCAGGTATCTGCCACTACCTCTGCTCCAATGTAGATGAGCTTCCCTTGAGTGTCAGGGGGCCCTTGACTGACTCTATTGCATCACCAAACAGAGAGGGTCTCAAGTGTTTGCCTCCTGGTGTGTGCCCAGGGACAAGAGACAAGTCACTGTGCAGACTGCTCCTGGCCACACAGAGGTCTTTCCTGCTGGACTTCTCCAGTCTGTAGCCCGAGGGGGACACAGAGAGAGTTTTACCTTATTCTCTGGCTGTCTCTCCCATCCTCCTAAAGCCAAGGGCCAGAGACTAGCCGGTAACCTGATGCTGGTGGCATGCCCCCGTGAGTGTGGAAAACACCGGGCGCTACTTTGTCTGGAGACAAACAGACCTGAGCTGGCTGGCTCCAGCGGGCCCAGACACTGTGTCCCACCTTTGCAGAGGCAGCAGAAGCAGGTGAAGCAGGGGCGCTAAGGAGCAGAGAACTTTCATTGATTTCCTAAATTGAATACCTCCGAGTCTTTGGGCATAGGCAGAGCCAGGCATCTGTTCCAGAAAAATAAAATCTGGCCCCAGGCACCCAGCCATCCTATGAAGGGCCGCTCCTTGCTGGGTTGTTTGTTTTTGTTGTTGTTTTTCCCCCCTTACATGTCTCATAGCAAATCACCTGGCAGCTAGAAAATGCTCACCCCTGATATCGACCTGCAGGCGTCACTTCAGTCCAAAAAAAAAAAGGAAAGAAAAAAAAAAAACCCTCTTGTCTTCTCTTTCCCTACTAGCCCCCAGGGAGAATTCACTGGCATTAGCATTAAGGATTTTGGGGAAAATCTTTACATTCTCTCTAGGTGTAAGATGCTGTAAGAACTCAGGAAGGCTGCTGGCTCTCCACATGTCTCTCTCTTTCTTTCTCTCTCTCTCTCTCTCTCTCTCTCTCTCTCTCTCTCTCCTGCATCTGGAAAGCCAGCTCTGAGAAGAAGAAATAGTCTTTTCCTGCAGTCTGTCATTCTGCTACCACATATAACCTGGTGTGAGAAATACCCCAGGCTTGAGAATATTGATAGATGATAGTACTGATATTCACAATCGATCCTTTAATAGGCAGACGTCATAAATCATGTTCAATGCCCTGACAGAACAGTACTTCACTTAATAATATAATTAAGATTAAAACTCCAGAGGTACTGAGGCAGCAGCTATTGATAGCCTTTTTAAAAATGCATTCTGGATACTATTGTGGGATGCAATAGGACTTTGGGAAAATATAACCTCTTTCACAAAAGATGGAGTCTTACCAGTGTTTCATCTCTGAGGTCCTTCGGCCTTGCTTACCTATCCTTAGTCAGCATGACTCGTGGAGAAAGAAGTGGTGGATAGGTCTGAGGGAGTAGTTCTGCATTCTACCCTTGAATATAGAGTTTACAGAATTCTCAAAAGGCCTAAGAAACATGGATGTGTTTTTGTTGTTGTTGGTTTTGTTTTGGGTTTTGTTTTTTGTTTTTGCTTTTTGGTTTTTGGTTTTTGCTATTTTCAAGACACTTAAACTCTTAATAAAGTTTTTTTTTTTTCAAATTACACATAGAGAACAGCAAAACAGATAAATCAGGCAGCTCCTGCACCCATACCTGTGCCCTCTCTGCTGACTGCCCCTCCAATCAGAGCCATGGGCCTCAGGATAGGTAGCAAGGTCCTTAAAAGTAGCATGAAGTGGTAGGCTTTTGTCCCAGGGTGAGAGGCTGCCATCATGGGTATCCATGTATCATGGGTAGAGTTGTTCGTAAGTGCAGCTTGAAATGACTGAAATGTTAATCAAATCAATCAGAGCTGACAGATGAGGAATATCTTATAGTTAGTAGTAATTTACAACTTTGTTATTAGTTAAGAATCACCTGCTTTGTAAGAGTAATTAATAACACAGAGAGTAGCCATTTGGAAATCCCCTTGCTATTCTTCTCATTTCCCTCTGTCTCTTAAGGAAGGAAAGAGAAAGGAAACAAACGAGTGATCAGCAAAAACAGGAAAAAAAAAGGCTGCATTTGTGGGGAGAACAAAACCAGAAAATATAAAGTAAAGGGGGCAGGGAAAGAAGATTAACCCCATGGGAAGCTATCAGAAAATAAAGAAAATACAAAGCAAGGGCTAACAAATCTGAAAACAAATTTTGTAACCATATACCATGAGCTGGCTAAAGTCTGAGTTTCAAATGGCCCAGAAATGCCATCAAAATGAACAGTGCTGCTGCAGTCTAAGCCCACAGCCTAACTCAGCCTTGAATTCCAGGCAGAGCTCAGGGCATTGTCTGTGTTGTTGTCCTTAACAATGTATTTCTTTACAGCCCAGGAGCGGACGTGTGCAGGCTCTTTCCCAAATTCCATCCCTGGAGACCCAACAGCCTTTCATGTGTCTAGTATCAGCTTTCTTCTAGGTCCTAGACAATCCTCCCCCAACCCCAGTACACATACACATTTTACATTGATTATTGGATAGTTTCACCCCCCACCAAAACCAAATTCCAAAATAAAGACTTGTTGAAAAACTATAAATCTTTTCAGCATTGCAGTTTGGGAAATCATTTCAACCAACAGACTCCCTGTTTAAAAAAATAATAATAATAAGAAATCCCCAGCTTTCTGCACACAGGAACAATAACTACCACTTTTTTTTTTTATTTTGTTGCTGAATGGGGGAATTTTTCATATTCTAATTTTTAAAACGAGAGAAAAAAAATAATCTCAACTTTGGAAAACTCTATCTGGTCATTATCATAAGCCCCGGTTTTGCTTCACCAAGTCCAGGCTGGATCAACAAAATGTATCTAGAAATGGAGAT